GACAGAAGCCAGTGGGCTGTACATTAGAAGCTGTTGATTGTGCTGAACGCACTCTCGCGATGCGTGAACCTCAGATGGATGCCGGATGCCTCCCGCTCCCTTTCACCGAGCGGTGCCGTACGCGATATGCCCGCTAGTGGGTGACCGGGGCAGGTGCCGTCTGCAGCCAACGAGAGGCGATGGAGCTTTTCCCGCTACGAACGAAATGCCCCATAGTACCATGAATTTCCGCATAATGCATGTACCTTGCATGCAATGTGTGACAGATCAGCTTCAATCCTCGCAGCAACGACTCCAACACATGCTGCAAATCGGAAAATGCCTGTCTCAAAGTATGTGAAAGGCTGATCCGTTCAGGTGGACAGATGTCGTTGTGGAAAGGCTGAGGTCCGTTGGCCTGTACTGTCTTCCGCGGTGTACTCCCTCATCGCTCTGCCCGGTATTGCCGGTGAAAAGTCCCTGCGCTACACGCCTAATAATGCATATGGGGTCCTGGACTGTAACATGTAAGATGTGCTGGAGGACTTCTGCAGCGCGGGGACCGGAAGCGCGGCAAACGAGGGCCAAGGACCACAAGCTATGGTGTGGTAATTGGTGTGGAAAAATCAAAAAAAATTGGACTCAAGAAGAGTGTATCAAGTTGGCCATGGCACCAGTGATTTCCACTAGCAGAGGGCTTAACATGCCCTTATGTTTGTCGAGAGTCTCGAGTCATCTCAGAGCTGCGCCCAAATTGCCTCTCAATCCTGGACAAACTGAGGCGAGAAGCCCCTCTTATAGAACACGTCAATATATCTCCATATGAAGTCGTGATGTGCCAGAGTTATATTCCTTATGTTGACATACTCGGGAGTCATGTTAAAGTTACATGTATGGTGGAGAACACTGCAGAAAAGAGATGTGGAATGGACAATGTCAGCCTGTGTATTTTAGTTCTACTTATGTACAGCTACTACTAAACTTATTCAATATTGCTCGAATATATTGAAATAGCATAGAGGTAGTACATTCTCACTCTCTGTGTACTATACAACAAGCGCCTTCCTGAGGCTACTTTTCCTGAGGTACTACATGCGCAACATTACTGTCAACAGGGTAATGGCCAGCGGGGAGTTGTCCTGTCAAGATGTCCATATCGGTTCGTGGTCCAGTGAAGTTCTTCCGACCGTCAACAAACCACTGAATAGCCGAGATAACGATGATGATGCCAAAGGCAGCAACGCAGTAGTCTAGACGCAACGGTATCAGTAGCTGCCCAATTCTGCATTGCGCATTGAAACTTACTCATGCTGCTGCCCGACACGGGGAGCTCTGGCGGGAACAGGAAGAGCACAGTGGTGACTGAAATGTAGACAAGGGAGATCTAAAGCAACATATGAGTTCTCGCTTCGAGACGGACCGTAAGAAGAACTTACCGCATTGGCGATCCAGCCAACAAGATTGGGAAGCACAAACGGACGCTCGGGGAGCATGTTGCGTCCGCGCAGGCAGTTGACTGCAATTGGGATACCATACGCAAGATCAAGCAATACCACAGACGCGGAGACAATGGCGTTGAACGCACTGAGTAGATGTTAGCCATGGTACTATCATACCCTCACCACACAACCAACCTGGTAGAGCCAAGGAAGATGCATCCAAAGATGACGACCAGTGCCAGATTCAGATACAAAGAGTTCAAAGGAACCTTCAGCTTGGGGTGCACTTTGCTGAAGAAGCGAGAAGCCGGAAGGCCTCCATCTCTGCCAGGCTTGTTAGCACAACTCAAGAGTCCTATGATCTGATGGATAATCACCTTGCAAAAGCGAAGATCATACGGCTGCTGGTGGTCATGATGGAGATAGTTGCGAAAAGCATGCAGACCAGAGGGAACCTAGAGATCATTAGAAATGAACCGCGAGTCTTTTTGGAAAGACCCTACATGAGCAGGCAGATGGCTCCGGCATTGCTGTTGGTTGCGTTCTTGAGGATCTGTAGGAGAGGTCCGGCCGCCGAACTGATCACATCGTCGATGTTGCCAGCAACAAAGAGCAGCACAATTAGGAAGATGGTACCGGTCACAGTTCCGATACAGACGCAACCGATCATGATCTTGGGGCCGACAACCGAAGCACGAGGGATTTCTTTGGACGTAAGCTCTTGTCGCCACATTGTATTGAGAACGAGTTACCTTCAATCATATGTGCAACGCCATCCTTTGACATATTAGCTTTACAGGGCGAGTACAGACGTCTGCAGGCGTGGAGGCTTACAAATCCAGTAACACCGAGTCCACCTTGAAGCAACTGCATCGCTGTCAGAATCATGCATGTATTGACGTGATGAATTACGTACTCCGAGCAACCAGGCAACACCATCAGGCCCTGCATTTGTCAGTATTAGTTCATCAAAATGCCGGGGTCAACACATACAGCCTGTCTCATTGATGAAATCCGTAAACACGAATCTGACTCTGTCAGCAGGTCCCTTATTTCGTAAACCAGAGGAGTCCTCACTTTGCCGAGCTGTAGTTTGGCGACGCGCATGCCAGCACCGTAATGCAGATGACAGTAAACCCAGTGAGGGACCAGATGACTTGATACCATCAGTATATTTCACGGAACCGTTGGGGAAGAGACTTACAGGCACCCTTAGTAACATAAGGAAGAACAGAGTTCATCAAGGCATTGATGATGAACGCAGCAATATTATAAGCAATGTAGATGAGGAACTGATGCCACCGCTGCGCCTCATATTCCTGCAAAGTGTCAGTCAACCATAACAGTTAAGTTCGTCAAAACACCTACCGGATTCATCAAGGAAATGACACCCAGTACCAGCTGACTGCCCAAGAGTCCACCAGTAGCCACAAGAGCGACCTATTTCATCAGCAGCGCACCCAAAGCTCCGAGACGGGTCATCATACCCAGCCAGACACGTTCACCCAGCCAGTAATCCAAGAAAGAATCGGCATCCATCTCTCCCAGGAGACTTCCAGCCATTAGCGCTGTCCGTAGGTGCAATAACACAGGATAACTTACTAACTACAACACGAAGAAAAATTAGCATCATCCTCTTCCATGTTCACGAGGAATATAAGAACTCACCTGCAACCCAATGATACTGTCCACCAGCCCTATACACCGTCAACAGCCCGAATCACAGCAACCAAAGACAAAAAATACTAACGTAGGATACGCAGACAGAAACTCAGCCAGCGAAGCCGCAATGCAGAGGTTACAGATCCCCGCAGTGATCAACCCTGTACCCGAAATCAGCACCGAGCCCGACGGCGCACCCAAGAGACAAAAAAAAAACCTACCCCAAATAACACTCACGCTCCCTCCCGAGGGAAGACTCAGCGACAAACTTGCTGAAAGGGCCGTCCACGACTAGCACGATATGGTCATTAGTATCCGATATCGCAGATGCGGTGGAATCATAAAACAGGACAATCATACGTTCAGAATCGCAAATGCCAATCCTAACATCGACCTAAATCCATCATTCATCAGTAATCGCTCAAAGAATTTGGTCTGTATATGATAAAAGGAAAAGCATACAGCATGGAGAAATTGCGATCCAACTCAGCCTTGTGGCCCATGGCCGCAAGTTGGGCGTCATCATCGACCTGGCCTTTGTGCTTCTCTATCGAAGACATGTTGCAGATATTACAGTAAATCAAGTGTTCGGATGCGACAAGAGTCAAGTAACCTGAAAAGCAAAAGTGAAGAGCAGAGCAGCAATACTGGCAGGTTATAAGTAAGTTGGCGTGGTAGTGTAGGATTTACCCCAGCCGGGGAAACTCAATTCTGGCAGCCTTAGGTAGAGTCTAGTGGTACTAGGTAGGCCGGTACTTGCTAGGGAAGCCTCAAAAGTTAAGTTGAAACCTTCGTCAACCCGACCCTTTCAGTTCTCTATCTACTCGTTATGCTATTTGCCATCGTCGGAAGCTGGATTCCTGGGAATGGTAGATTACGGAGTGCGCCATCATCTCCAATTGTTCCTCACAAAGGCCCACCAGCTGATCGCGGGGGAATTCAACTGTTACCTAATGGATATGGGGTAATCACAACAGCATTACAGCATCACCGCGTCTAAGGGACTGCGACCCAGATGATAAACTGATAGGACCTGGGTCTACTCCATCAGGTCGTAGTACATACTCCGTAGAGAGGGTACCTTTTCGATCAACCAAGCAGGACATCTTGTGCATGCAGTGACAGATAGGGACTGTAGCAGACGTTGATTCGTCCAAGTCGCCGAAGACACGGCGCCGATGACCAGTCAGATGAAAGGAGGCAAAAAGTGAAGAGGACGATCTGCGGGAAGTCGTTTCTTAGCGTCTGGGAGGGTCGGAGCCACAGCGTCTTGGACGCTTGGTCGGGGATTTGGCTGGTTCTAGAAAGCTTATGCAGACTGAGATTGAAAAGGTATCATCACTTGGCGACGGAGCACTTCCGAGATATCATTCAGCATTCAGATATCGATGATTCATATTCAAAGTAGAGATAGATAATGAGTCACGGTAGTAGATCTGCTTGAGACGATATATATATATATATGGGGTGATGGAGTTCGGTGGACTAGTTGCCGTTTGGTTGATGTCTCACCGGGGCGATTTGGTGATTATCGACCGAATTGACACACACGGATCCCGATAAGCCTTCATTCTTGGGTAGGTCCTCCGTGCCGAGTAGGAGGGAAAAAAGTGGAGTATTCTTGTGGATGTCTCCCACGTGAGCACATGGCTTGGTTGGAACCGTTATTATCGAAGAACGGCCAGACAACTCCATGCAGTCACTCTTATGACGAATCCATTCATCTCTTCAAACATTCATCGACATATGGATAGAGGTATAAACACGGTCAACTCCGATCCACGGCGGAACAATGACACATGGTATCGATACAGCATCTGATGCAAACATAATATATACAATGCAACATGGAGAATATTAACCTCCAAATCTACGCTATGCTCATCCTTCGTCTCATTCCGTTGCAACAAAGCCCGCCGCCTACTTCGCTCCGTCCGTAGAATTCATCAAGTGATCCGTCCGGACAATGTAGTCGTCATCCCCATTGGCAACATCGGGCGAAGAATCAGACTCTCCGCCTCCACCTGCGACAGTCTTATTCTTCCATTTGCCCTTGCCCTTGCTGCTTGTAGATTGGCCGCTGACGCTTCGCATCATGGCTGACCCGGCCTTCCCTTTACCTTTGCCACCGCCAGGAGAAGGATGGTCTCCATTCGTAACTGGTCCATCGATGAATCCATCAAGCTGGCCTCCCAGCCTGAGCGCTTCAAGAGCGTCGCCGATGGTCTGCGGGGCCTTGGGTCCTGGCCCTGTGCTCTGCGGCTCCTGCTTCTTGTCATCGGATTCGAATTGTCGCCGAATCCGCTCGAAATGTTCCAGTTCCTTGGCACTGCAGGGTTATTAGCAAAGTCTTTCAATAGTCTTATCAGGTATCGACTACTAGTAACGTACCTGACGCTGGGAACCATCTCGCTCTGAGCCCGGGTGAAATCTTCTTCCGTCACCATGACAGCCACGTCGTCCGGCGTCGCGAGATGGTCAAAGTAGTATGCAGTACTAACTGGCCCGCCCGGTAGCTGCTTGATTTTCTCGTCCACCGCCGTCGCCTTGCGCGTAATAGCCTTGAGCATAGCGTCCGAGCACAAAGCATACAGATCGGCACCCGTATAAGTAAGGGGAAGCCGGTCGGCGACCCGGCGGAGCGACACTTCGGGGTCGAGTGCGAACTTTCTCGTCAAAGCCTCAAGGATAGTAGCTTGTTTCTCATGTGTATCCGAAACACCGAGGTAGAGCATCTTGTCGAAACGCCCCGGACGCAAAAGGGCCGTATCCAGCAGGTCGGGACGATTGGTAGCGCCGATAACAAACACGCCCCCGCTGTTCTCTTCGCCCCCATTCATGCCATCTAGCTCAGCAAGCAACTGACTGACGATGCGGTCCATCACACCGCCACTGTCGCCTTGGTTTCCACGCTTCGGCGCGACCGAGTCCAGCTCATCAAAGAAAACAACACAAGGCCGAGCATCCCGAGCGCGTTGGAACACTCGCCGCACGTTCGCCTCGGATTCACCAATGTACATATTAAGCAGCTCGGGACCCTTGACGGAGAAGAAGTTGAGAGAGAATTCGGTGGCAATAGCCTTGGCAAGCAAGGTCTTTCCAGTGCCGGGAGGACCATAGAACAGAATACCACTGCGCTTCTTCATGCCCTTGGCAAAGAGCTCAGGTCTTTCAAGAGGCAGCTGAATAGTTTCGACCAAGGCATCCTTGACATTGGTCAGTCCACCCACGTCCTCCCAGCTGACGTTTGGAATCTTGGGGGCCCCAATGGAGTCGGCAAAGTTCTTCCTTGCAGCTTCAACAGCGGCGTCGAAATCGGCCTTGGTGACACCTCGTGCCGCATCGCCGCCGGAGACAAGCACGTCCCTGACACTGACTCTGGATTCTGGCGCAACTTTGCTTGCCGTTTCCGCTAGTCTTTCTAGGCGGGCGGTTCTGATGGCTGACGCCCTTTCGACGACATCCACTAGATCACCAGCGACCAAAGCGGCCGTCTTCAGAGCCACCGATCCCAAGTCGACATCGGGTGACAGTCTGATGCTTCGTTCAGCGACAGCATTTCGGAGAATGCCCTCCCGCTCCTTCTCCTCTGGCGCAGTCATCTCGAATTCGTGAGTGAACATGCTGCGGATCCCTTCTGGGATCTGCTCCACATCCGTGGTTGTGGCAATAACAACTCTGGCATCTGCAAGGATTTCTGCCATCGCTGACACTATTCTATCGGCAGTCAACACGTCAATGTGCTTGATGAGAAGCGCTGTGCAGTGCGATCCACAGTGAAACGCGCGCTCGGCTCTCGCTTTAAGGTAGGCTTCTGTTTTCACATCGCCGCCATTGGCGCCGCCCTCAGTCAGGATGTCGTAGGCATCAATGGGAAAGGTATGGAGGCCAATGTCTGCACACGCGCGCGTTGCCACTGTAGTCTTTCCGATATGTCTTTGCTGCGACTTCAAAAGAATCACAACAGGTTTCATTCCCAGCTGAATAGCGCGAGGACTCGTTGCCACTGCCATCAGCTCGCGAATCCGTTTTTGCAATGGCGGTACGAACAGCTGCGGTGGCTCAGTAACCAGACCATGGGGGCCCGACACATTGCTAACGGACTTTGGTACGGATTTCACCCCAAGCCAGTACTCCCAACCATTCTCCAAGATGCCCGGAAACCGCCTAACGTCGCTTCCAGCCTGCACCATCCTAGTGGTCGCAGAGTCGATAACGGCTACCCCTCCCCATTGATCATCTTCATCCTGATCCTCGGACTTGCCGGGAACCACGTGAGCGACGCGGAACCACGCCACGCCAACATTCTTCGCACCCTGCGCAGACTCATTGGCCTGATTGAAACGTATTGTCAAATCTTCGTCTGGAGTGCTCGCATCCGTGGTGGCGGCGCCGGAGAAAACAGCTCTGCCAAGCCCCTCATCAACGCTGATGCCAACAAGATCACCGCTTTTCAAGATCCGCCTCTTCGATTCGAAATACTGCTTGAGTCCTGCGAACAGGGCCGGCTGGAGGACACGATCCATGGAGAGCGGCGTGGAAACCTTCAAAAGGTTCACTTCCTTGGCCAAAGGTGGCTGTCTGGCGGAGCTGGCCTTGACTTGATGCAGAACAGTGGACTTCGAAGGGCCGTTACCAGAGGCAAATGCCATCGGCGAGATGCGCACATATTTCGTGTTCTCAAGGTTGTTCAAGAGCAATGGAGAAGCATAGACCGACGGAGTGAGCCGCTGGGGAGGGCGTTGAGAGATGCTAGGGCGCCTGTCAGAGGATTGATTGATCGAATACCTAGGCTTGGCAGACGGAAGGCCTGGCAAGCCGTAGATTTTTACTGGCCGCCAATTACCATGCTCTTCGTCATGCTCGTTGAAGCTTCCGAGCTGGATCGACGAAAATATATTCGCCTGGGGTTCCTCTGTGGCCTCGATCCTCACCCAGTCCCCGGAAAAACAGCCGATTTTCGCAAGAGTGCTGATGTCCACATAGATGAATGACTCCGGGTCATCGTCTTCCCGAGGCCTGGGGTGTAGGAGTTCGGTTGGAATTCCACGAAGTAAACCTTCCGCCTTGAAAACTTTCCCAAGTCCCCTCCCCGGGCGCAGAGTCGCCGAGGTGAAGTTAGATGCCACGGACCCAGGGGTGTGAATGCCGTCAAGTCTCCGACCACCAGCACGGGGTGTAGCGGAAGTAATTGAAGACAAAACACCGGAAGGTGGTTGCGGAAGTTCCGGAGCTGTCAGCGAGATCATATCCTCCAACGAGTCATCTGAGGTGTCACTCGCATTGCCTACCGAACCCTCGGTTTCCGAATCATCTGGCGGGGTTGTGCTCTCCATTTCGGTCCCGCTCTCACTGGGCTTGTCTTCGGCAGCCGAGTAAAATTGCTCGTTTGATGTATCGTCTGCCTCATCTTCCGCAACCTGCTTGAGCAGCCCCGGCCTTGACCGTAGACTCCTTTGCGCCCTGTGGCCCTGTGGGCGCGCTTGAATGAGAACAATCTTGGTCGTAGATGTAAGCAAGCCTTGAGACACGGGCTCGCAGAACGAAATGTGAGCAGGAGGGGCCGGAGCGTATGTGATTGGATGCGGTGGGAGCGGGAGCGGTAGTACGTCGCCGGTATGCACCACCTTCTGTGTCCCTAGAGCTTCTCTGACGGCAGCCGTAAGTCTTTCCTCCACCTCAGCTGCCGCTTTCTTCGTGAATCTCTTTGGCTCCAAGCCCTTCCCCGCCTTTGCCCACAGCCCGTTCGGTCCGTGCATATTCGTGGTAAACCCGCCACCGAACCTGCTCTGCACATCATCATGGTTCCGAAGCAAGTCCCGCTCTACCGTTACATAAACAGTATCCAAGTGCAAAGGAATGACGTCCAGAGCTCGGATCTCCACAATACGCTGCGCTTGCAGGGAGTGGCGCGTAGGATCGAGTTTGGTCAGAGTCTGTATAAACGGCTGGAGGGAGTCTGCAGAATCCGGAAAAAGGACCGTCGAGTGCGGGAGCGGCGAGGGACGGGAACGATCTAGAGACTCCAACCGGACAGGAACAATCGTCCACGCCAGATCATCTACCGCGCTAGAACCCGGAGTATAGGGCGATATGGCAAGATAGCGAATGCCATCATCATCTGTAATGCAATCCGCGACTTAGCATGCAAACATACGACGCTAGCAGTAGCTTTTGCCACGGGCTTTGTAAAGCCGTTTCGGCTCACTCACCTGTTACAGAGGGCGGCTGAAAGAGGTCGTTCGCCAGGTCATCAGACACAATCCCGACGCTCCCACGCAGCTGGCTGTCCAGAGCTAGCCGCGCAGATATAGGCGCCCTATTGCGTAATCGCCGTTTGACAATATTTCGTCTGCGTCGTCTCGGTTGTTCAGAAGCACGGTCATCGTGCGGAAAGTCCATGGTGAATCACAGCGCGGTGTCGTGTCCGGGGTAATCGCCGAGGGGCGCGGACGATGCTGGGTCTGGTCTATTGATTGTGGGAGGGTGTATTTATCAAGTCAACAAGCCATGCTAATCGATCGGTAGTGACAGAACACGAGAGACCAAGCAACAGACAATGACCGCAGATGTTGTAGAGGATAATTCCTAGCTCAAGTGCGGGCAGAAGAACAGTGGATGGAGAAAGTCCGGGGGAGCGAGTGACTGCTCGGCACCGCCCGAGTGTTCTGCCACTTCCCGAGCCGAGGTCCAGCTGCTCTGCTTCACAAGATGCGGTGATTAAGTGGATTGTCATATAGGACTCAATGCTGCATTAAAAAGACCCGTAGGTCAACTTTCTTTTTCTCAAGAGCGTATCTGCATATCTGTTGTTTGATGATAAAATGATTCAAGATGTGGCAGCATGCAGTCCTTTCAAATACGACGCCTACATAGATATTCCTCGCTCATAGTGCTCCTAGTACTTGCCATTCCCCGCTCCTCAGTCTCCCAGGCTCAAGATCACCATTGTGACAAGCAGTAAACAGCGACTTCGCTTGGCAAATGAAACGGGGACAAAAGAAATGCTGATTGAATATTCTTCATACTTGCAGCTGTTTCCAAGTTTTGAAGGAGATAATCGTGGACCTTATAGGAGGTATGCATCGCACACTCTCTACATATTCTGTACGGACTACACATCTTGAACCTCCGGCCCGGGGGCGTCAGGGACCTCTCATATTAGACTGATCAAATATCATCCCATTCCATATCCCCGCCGGAAGTATAAGGGAAAGCCGAGGCTGTGATAGGCGTATCTGAGCTCAGCGCAAACAACACTGGTTGGGTACATATATCAGCAAGAAACTCTTCTAAAATTTATTGTCCTGACTCGCTCGTAGCCTAGGTACGTTTGTTTCCCAGAGTCATGCGCGAGGGTTTCCATGACTTGTTGCGTTGCGTTGCGTCCGTTGGGTTAAGCTAGATAGCCCTCGATCTGTTTTGCCCTAGGGACGTCCTTCGCCAAACCATAACGTTAGGATATGAGAAATTAAGTGTCGAAGACAAGATTGGTCAGGAGTTGCAGCTTTTAAATGGAAACTAAGAAGAATGCCTAGTGACAATGATGGAATAGTATCTGGCGGCACGGGCACGGCAGAAAAGTCCTTGCTATTGCGTATCTGGAGTATTGCGAAGACACCTACATAGTCCTGACGAAGATATGCCGACGAGCGGATGACCGCATGTATCCGGATGAAGGCCAGCACCTCTTGGACGATCTGCTTTGCGACTGCAGCTCCATTGTGATTGTTGGATACTGCAAGGCAAGTTCCAGATCGTGCACCAAGTTTCGTAGAGAAAGAAGATCACTGGGAGATCTCAAGTCATGTAAAATAATTCCAGTCTGAAGATGTTTGAATAAAATATGCCAAAGGAGCGTGGTCGGTGTCAGAGCATGTTCCCGTAGCTTTTGGTCTTCATGGATGATAGGCAGGTGACTTTCGAGATTCAGGGAGCTTGGAGAAGATGAGAAATAGGACCTCAGTCTTGCTAGGGATAGTCTCAATACTGGCGGGGCTCTTTACAACAACCATAACCGATGCGTTCTACTTGGTCCCTCGTACTACGTGGCCTTGTAGATAACCAATGCCTGGTAGTCTACAGAGGCAGGCGCTGTAGAAAGCCAGTTCCACGTCGGATGCGAGCCTGTAACATCCTAGTTTGGTTCGTTTGGCGCAAAACTGAGTCCTATCCAGCGGCAAGGTATTGATCAATTGGGCAAGACAACCACAGGGAGGGTTCAATATTATGCTGAGTGCGGAAGCGGCAGTGTTTCTGGAGTGTGAATATCTATAGCAGATCGCGTCCATACAAAGCTCTAGATAGTCCATCCTCAATGGGGCCCGCGAGCACATACAGAGCAAAGGAACAATTAAGAGTATGACAGCTCGGGATAGCCAAAGTCCACAACTACGTGACACAAGTAACGTATACCATACCTTGTTATGTCAGGGTCTGTTCCTTAGCTTCGCCAAGCGTGGCGGAGTCAATCAAGCCATGGGAATGGGAATAATAATAAAAATACCTCTCATGCCTAACACTTGAGCTTCCAGTTCAACTGCCTGAGCATCCGATGTGTGCACAGATGCTCTGTGAATGCAAACCAGAGGGATGGGAACCTGAAGCCCCAACCGTGAGCCGATCAGCAGAAGGTATCAGATGATGCCAGTTGTTCACTTCAAGTCTCAGACTAGGGAAACGAAGGCCCCCAGAACCGTCACCGACATCTGGTGATAATCTGGGGATTTTGATTGGATCAAGGCCCAATTTGAGCGGTCGAGCTGGAACGACACTGCTCCCTTCCATATGTCAAAGGCTTTCTCCGAGAGTGGCCAGACCCTGTGAAAGAGGGATGAGGCTCAAAAGCCTCCGCACATAGCCACATACTTGACATGGGTGGGTGCAGCCGAGTACGTAACCACTTGAAACTGAGCTGCCTAAGGTAGGTACGCACTGTTGGATAACCGAGTCGCTGCGTACTCCGGAGTAAGTTCTGGCTACGAGGCCCTCACTTACTGGACGGGAGAGTGTGTTGAGATGCTAAAGATGATTATTAGGAGAAGTTGAATCGTCATCCATGGAATAAGGAGAGATTGTCAAATCATATCACCATGTGAGCGAGTCCAGGATCCCTGTCATGTTTGAGCCAGGATGAGAAACCAGTTGTCCTAAAAGAGACACCGTCATTTCTGAGACATGACCACAGTAACGACTGTAACGACCGTGACAGCCATGACCGCCCGTTTATTGATCAACGTCCGATCATGAAAGGGAAATGTTTTCGACTTCGCTTTAAGGACAGTTATGATAAACAAGTCCTAAATATGACTTTCAAGGATCCCTTTACATACTGCGAACATAGTAGTTGTTCCATATGTTCTGTTTTAAGGTCATTTTGGCTACTTTCGAAGCGCTACGGATGAGTAAAGATACCTAGATACCCGTATTGTGCTCGTAAGCACAATTCTTAGTAAAAAAAACCAAAAGTACGAGCCGTTGGTGCCCCTTTGTCTTCCAATTGATTGAGGCTCACTCGGGGTCCCCAAGTGTCCGACTCCGTTGGTCCTCATTTTCGGATTGTCGGACTGTCCGACTCCTTCACATTCAGGGTTCCCAACTTTCATCATACCTGTATGCTCCAAAACTGGTTAGCCGATAATCCATAACTGAATCAAAGGACTCTCAAAAGTGAAAAGAACCCCCTTAAGAGCCAAAGAGGGTGAAAATGGAGCCAAAGGGCGATTGTTGTTGTCGTAATTCCCTGGTACGATACCCCTGATATCTCTGTTATTCCAGCCGGAAATTGCCCTTTCAATCGGTAATAGAGTTGTAAAATACAACCCAGGATCACAGCCCCAGAAACGTATGGTACACTAGGTACCTCGGCCGACTGCGCCGATTGCTGATCGAGGCAAGCGCCACGACAGTGGGGCCCTCGCAACAAGGCTATGAATAACAATCCAACCAGCGCTCTGATTTTTTTCTCAATCTTTCCCTTTCTGGGATTAGGGCGCTCGTCTATCAGGCAGACATCGAAACCACCTCAGCTTGCGGACCAGCAGATCCGCGCCGGACGAACAGCCTCCATCATTGGGGATGTCAGCCTGTCGTCCCAGACATAGACTGTCATCCTCCCTCGAATCCGTCATCACGATCATTATTCTTATCATCACACTTTCATCGCCTTACCTGTGCGCTCAACTTTGCCCTTCCTCCTATTCTCGATAGTCACTTTTTGTCGTGGTTCTTAACGTCAAAAAAGAGAGAATTTGGACATTGAAGGCCGCCATTTACCTCGATATAGACATTGTCCATTTCTCATAAGACTTTCGAGCGAGATTATCTCCAGACTTTGTTATCTACAACAGTGGTTCTACTTTTCATTCGCATATTCACACCAACGCCTGTCGCCTACTTCTTTGTCACTCGGAGTCGTAGTCCTATTTAACATTGCTGGAGTCCTTGCATTTCACCCAACTCTCCACGTGTGGAAATACGGCCATCATAGAGAGTATTGCGCTGCTTTCAAGGGATCATCAACCAACTCAGTCGTCCACTCCAGCAGCCAACTGTCATTACGGTAAGTAATTGCACCTTCAGTTTAGATTTTATTTCTTCCTCTGCTGCTTCACTCTCGTCGCTTTTCTCGGTTTATATAGCTAATTCTCGCTGGAGACCGAGCGATTGACTCGCATGTACGTCATTTGAATCACCAGGAAAGTCATCTTCCTGAATACGTATATTACATCGCACCTGGTGAGTCACAGTCACGGTGGTCTAGCCGGCACCCTATCATTTGGGCCAATCTGTTCTCTTCCGCTGACTTGCTAAGTCTGCCCTGCACTGTGACTCGTGCTTGCCATTTCAGCCATGTCGACCTCCCAGGCTGAGCATACCCGGGTTCACCCGCGTCGGCGTCCCTTAAAGACAGCACCCCCCTCCCTTTCTGCTTCGACATCGCTGGAAAGCTATGTCGCGGACTCGTCATCGTCGTCACCAAGTTTGAGTTTGAGGAAAGGGGAAACGTTCCATTCACCTTCCCCACCACCCTCAGACGATCTTGACCCGGTGCTTAGCTTTAGGTCTCTGCCCCAGCGCTCACCTACATGCCCCAGAAGCCTAGAGGCCATCGCCGTCCGAGAGCAGCGCATGGTCGATTACCTGAGCAACCTTAACCTCAACTCCTTGGAACCGTCTTCTCCTCTTTCTGACAAGGACAACGGAGACGACCTTCCTGTTCCTCGAGCCATCCTTCAAGCCCATATCGATTCTCAGTCAATGGCGGACCGAGTCAGCAAACCTGCTCAATCCTCTCAGCTACACACTCCTTCCAAGGTCCGCAAGACCCATTGCCATGCCTCGGACAGCGGACTGGGCACTTCCCTGAGTAGTGAGAACATGTCGGCCTCGGATAAAAGTAAAGGTATTTTCTTTTTTCTTAGATCTTTTTTTTCTTTTTTTATTATATAAAGCCTGCAGCCGCATTTCCTTTTACTAACATGCTTGTTATAGTGAAAGCTGGACAGTTATCATTCGAATCTCAGTCGTCTGCCAAAGCTGCTACTCGAATGACTCAATCGGCCATCACCAGCTCTATCTCGGCGTTTGATGCTAAGGTATCTCAGAAGCGTCAACTGGGATTGCCTGCATGCAAGCATATTGAACGCCTTGTCATCAAGCCCATCCTCAAGGAAGAGAGATTGAAGCCGTTCCATCCTCTCGTTCAAAGTATCCCTCAGCGAATTGTAGATAGAGAAATCGGCTGTCTCCGTGACCTCGAAAAGACACTCTTGTGGTTGGCACCGGTAAGTGATTTTCAAAAAGGGAATGGCGTTAGGTGCATTGCTCATTTATTTTCTCCTTTCTTGAAGAACTACGCGGCTTCCAGAGCTTCGTACCTCCGTTTCTGCGAATTTACGATTCAGTGTCTTCATACGTCGGTCTATCATCTCAACGAACGCGATCAACGGCTGCCAGCAGACAGGCCTTACACTAACGGCTACTTCCTTGATCTCGTCGCACAGATTCGCCGATATGCAGCTATGATTAATGAGTCCCGAAGCAGCATGCCTTCAAATGGAGAACCGGCACAGGCCAGTGCAAAGGCTAGTGCTCCAAAGTATGTTCTCCCCACGTCCTCTGGATGGTTTGCAAGGTTTAATATTGTCCGCAGTGAACGTGTTACCCTGGAGGGTGGTTTATCCAAGACCGGAAGACCAGCTGAACTCTTGGTTCACAAGGATGGCGAGATGATCTCGCTGCGTACGGGCAAGCCCTACGAGGAGAATGCCGTTCCTGCGATGAAGCGTTCTCTCAGCCTTCGCTCCGTCGATGAGGGTGTTGAGCGTTCCATGGCTCGTCGCAAGAAGAATGCACCTCCCATGGACATTAACCAGAAGTGCAAAGACTGTGACAAGGTTTTCAAAAGACCTTGTGATCTTACGTAAGTACTGTTACTGAATTCGCTTTGCTCCCCCGACCTACAATTCATTCGAAGCACCTTGCTGACCGATTCCAGGAAACACGAGAAGACGCACTCTCGTCCCTGGAAGTGCACCGAACCTTCCTGCAAATATCACGAAATTGGATGGCCAACGGAGAAAGAGCGAGACCGCCACATTAACGACAAGCACTCCAGAGCCCCCGCTTTGTACAAGTGCAAATTCGCGCCATGTACCTACTCATCAAAGAGAGAAAGTAACTGCAAGCAGCACATGGAGAAGGCTCACGGCTGGGATTACGTTCGCTCAAAGCATAATGGCAGGAGCAGCAAGAAGGCGTCCAACGGAGCCACGCCCCAGACTCCCAGCATTTCTACCCCTAGCTCGAAGGCTCAGGACATTGCAACACCCCTTACCGGTTCCGAACCCTCGCCGTTCGAACCCGTCACTGCTTACCCTCCGAACCCACCGTTTTCATTCGCGGATCCCCCTACCCAAACAGGTAGCGGCGATTTCCCGCTTTTCACTACCAATAGCCCATTTGAGGATTTCGCCGCTGGTGTAAATGGTTTCAGCCCGCTGCCAACGACCTCGTTGGACTTCCAAGCGTTTCAATCCCAGCTCGAGGGGGCTGACCCTAATGGCCTCATTCCTCTGACTTTCGATCGTCAATCATTCGACTCCGCGTCTCCAGTGCCGGACTTGATCAATGGAACTATGGGATTCGATACGTCGCCAATTGCATCCACCGACAGCAGCAGCCTGAACTTCGACCTGGCATGGAGTCAGCTTGACGCTCAGAATGTCGAGGAAGAGTTTACGACTCTGACCATGCAGATGCTCACGCCAGAGCACTCGGTCCCGATGAGTGCCTTGAACTCCTTTTCTCGAGACCCCTCCATCTCGAACCCCTCTCCGCTCCCGGTCCAGAAACGAGAGAATCCGCTCTACACGCCCGACTCTTGCCATGTCGATGAAGGCGTCTCGGATGTTTTCGATCCCAGCTACCAGAATAAGGCAGATTTTATGCTTTTCGACCAGAATGCCAACTTTGGGGCTGGCTCTGTCGATATGTCGAGTACTTGTCATCTCTCCGCGCTTCACAACGCGAATCAGATGTTCCCCTCTCTCAATACCCAGGATCTCAATTATATGACCCAAGGGTGGCCTCAAGATATGGAGATGGAACATTTCTAATTTCGACGGCCATACCCGATCTTCTTGCCTTTATTCTTTAATTTGCTACTTCTGGAGTCTGGGACCATCGGAAGGGCCTTGTGTTTATTTTTTTCCCTTTGAAAGCGAGTTATGGTTATTACTGGAATCACCACTACTGACAACATTTGTCAACCATCTACGAGTGCGGCGTGTTCTGTTACCGGCTTGACCTTTCTTACCAGTCACTCTCTACGGTCATTCCTGGCCCGAGTTGACGTTGATCTGTAACTTGGATTGTGTAATCACCGCATGCATGACTATCTATTCCACCAAGCAATACTCTGTGCTGAATGATTTGTCAAGGATCATTCCTTATCTAGAAGCGCAAATGTTCCTTTCAAATGTCATTGCGTACTTATGTATGAAGAGCACTTTTGTCTGTGGTCATCACACGGTACCCTAAAGAAATAAGTAGCCTGCCTGGAGATGTAAATCTTGTTGGCGCGAGCGATTCGACCATCAGATCCTTGGTAAGCGCCGCACACGCGAAATGACTCCACGGTAGCATCCTTGATCCCGTCCGTACTATGGTATACCAATTGACTATACTAGAAGAGCATTTAGCTTTATTCAGTTCATCAGGAACCCATGTTGATAGTCTACCAGCTATTGGATCATGTGCCCGTCAATCCATAGATAGATGCGAGCATGAAATTTCAGCATGTGGTTGTGTTTCCTGGCTACCGAGCTGGTCAAGGTGTCCGAAAAGCAACAACATCGTCTAGTTGCCATTCTAATACAAAGTAGTAACTTTGTCCCCTTTTTTTTGTTCCGCTTAGCTGAATGTCATGTTTTTGCCTTTTACGGTAGCTGTATGGATACCACTCCACTGGCACTCGACGTCGATCCCGCTCTAGGCATCGACGATCCATTACCATCAAAATTAGCACCTCATTACAATAGCGGGGACTACAAGGCTGAGGCCCCTCAGCTAGAGTGCAGGACGCGTCAGTGGCAGCAGGAAAATGAGGAATTTCACCTCAGCCTAATAAGAGAAGAAAAGAGAGTTCGAAGTGCCCCTCATTGGTACCTAGGTAATTCGTAACGGTGGTACAAATTGGACCTGGAACGATTGTGACGACACTGCGGCATAGACTCACCCTCTTCTATTCTCTCTAGGAAGTACCTTCTTTCTTTTCCAAACTCTCTAATAGGTCGTGTGAATAATTTAATTCCCAGCCTTCATACAGTTTCTTGGGTTTCTATTCAATTTATTATTTTCCTTCTACCTTTTCTTGTATTCGGTCACCCGACAAGGACTTTTGTCCTGGAAGCTTGGCACTGAAAGCGGAGACGTCATCTAGCTTACCCCAAAACAACGTCCTGTCCTACGTTAGGCAGACGGATTCTGACCATTACTTGCGCCGAGTGAAGCACAATACTCTTCCTTGCGAGTTGAATGGTCTCTCAACGTGTCGATTGAACGAACGGATCGGAGTGATAGTTCCCCCTGGCTCGACATGCTTGATGCAAACCCCGCCTCCCATGATGCCGACCGTCTGCAGTCAGACGGTCGGCCGCTGTCAACTCATGTACCACCAGGGCAAATTCTGACGGGAAAGCAAGAGCACTGTGAGAATTGTCTCCTTCTGGTTAAATTCTGACCGAAGGGGACTTATCGCTAACCGGTACAGATCTGAAGCGCGAGCTGATCGGCCGTCAAGTGCGCAACGAAATCACAGAGCTGAACTCCCCCACGGCCCTCCACCGCTTCGGCGCTCCATTCAAATCTGAGTTCGGGGAAGTTGCCCCTGTTGATTCTGAGCTGCCGATTCTGCGATACATCTTTGTGCATCATGTGCGCAAGTTCCCTTTCCTCGATCAGGCGCGTGAGAAGGAGTTTTGGCAGGATAAGTTGCAGGTGGTATGTGACTGCACCAATTTGGGTTATCTGTGGTAGCCGGAGACTCAGTGTGACTAACTAATGGCGTTCCTGGTGCAGTTCCTCGAGTCATTCGCTAACAAGCATGTATCGTCCTCGGAAGACCGGTTGGAGGAGACCAAGCGCAGGAAGCTGGCACGGAAAGCCGAAAAGCTCGTCGAGCTGATGATGGTGTCGGGGATCCCCACAGCGTCGGGGTATGAAGAGCGGATATCATTCTCGGAGATGGAGGTGGTCGATCGCGGCGCGAACGAGAAGGGCCTTCTTGTGAATATGCCGGAGGGGCATGCGATACATGGCTGGGATGTCAATGTCGCGGCGGTACGAGTTACCTCGGTCAAACGGACAGTGCGATACCATAAACATGCGGTCAGTGATAGGGATAAGTACGGACAGATGGTAACCAGGTTAACTGACACTCCACTAGGAATTCATCCTCCGTGTGCGGCGGGAAGGCAAGCCTGACATCTTTGTGGCCAGGCGATACGGAGAATTCTCAAAACTTCATAAGAGACTGCGTACAGAGTTCCCGGGCCGAACATTAGCTCCTCTTCCGCGGAAGAATAAGTCATCAACAAGTGCTAGCTTTTTCGGCTCGGCTGACGATGAGGCGTCCTCTATTTCTTCCGTGTCAACTCAAGATACTAGCGAGGGGTACGCCGGTCGAACGCTGGCTCCGGGACCTCATCACAGTCGTTCATTGTCACGATCCTCCATGAGATCATCAAAGTCTGGGGGACTTTCAAGTGAGAGCCCGAGAGACACGGTGCTTTACAGGGAGGAGCAGCGCGTCTCTCTCCGAGCATTTCTACGCACTTTGCTGCAGAACAAGCGAGTTTCCGAGTCAAAGGCGATGGAGGAGTTTCTCACAGCAAATCCCGTCACCTTGAATGAAGAGGAATTGACCGATGTAGAAAGAAGAAAAGCAGCAGACGCCATCAGAATTGAGGAGCAGAAGCGGTTCTACGAAATCGCAAGGCAGCGTGCGGCGGAATTGGATGTCTATATGGAGCAGTTCCGCCGGGATATCGTGGAGAGCAGTAAGGAACAAGTCGCAATGACCCAGGGACCGGCTTACTGACGTTTTGAACTCAGATGGTCTAACGAAATTATTCTCCGAGATTCGTGAAAAGAACACGATAGCGGACCTTAGTCCCCAATACCAGAAATTCGCTGAATGGCTTCGAATTGAGTGCGTTGGAATGCCTTGATCTCGAGAAATTGTCCTCCTCGACTGACTATTACTAGGGTTGCGGCAACTCTCTATCACGTATTCCTGGCTGAGGACAACTCTCCCGAGATGTTTGCGCAGTTCAAGCGAATACATTCTCTTGTCCCGTATACCTTGCTAAAGAATGTCATCCGCATCGCCAACCCAGCGGCTGTGATGAGTGGTGTCCTAGATCTTTTCCTCGCTCAGCCATTTGGGTCGCGGTCTCTGCTACAGCGCATCTTTTCAATGGCTCTAAACGACGGCATTAAACAATTTCAAAAGTCCATTGACTCGCTGGCAGCCAAAATTGGCGATCCCGTCCTCACTGGAAAGTTAAAAGACTTCGCGCATGCAGATGAGAATATCAAGAATGAAATTCGGACAGAGGCTGCGACAGAAGATGTGGATTTGATCGTTGCTATTCTTCGGTCGGAGCTCATATCACCTGAGCTCACTCCAGAGCAGGTTGGAAAGGTGTTCAATGCTTATGTGGCCTGGAATCATGCGGTGGACAACGTGGATCTTGAGATGCAGGAAGGGGCCCAGTGGTTTGCGAACATGAAGCAACTGCTCAAGCTCTACACCCGACAGCGCGACAAGGCAATGATTCTCAGCATCATCGAGGAGCCTGTCACCCTTCAGTTATTCCGCGATCTCTTCACGATTTTCTACGAGCCGCTAGTGCGCGTCTACAAATCGGCGAATGTATACAGTAGCATTACCGACTTTGCACAATTTGCCGACGACGCCATCGCTGTGATTGAGAAATGTCACAGGCAGGATGTTTCTGCCGACCCTAACCAAACCGTCCAGGCCTTCATCGATCTGTGCGAGCGGCACCAAGACAACTTCTACAAGTTCATTCACGAAGTGCACCTTCACGATAATGGCTTGTTTACCTCCCTCATGGGTTGGATCGAAGATATCCTTGAATTCCTGCGCCACGGTCCTCATGGGGGTAAGCTTGACATGAATGCTCTGTTCCATGGAGCCAAGGATGTCGGGCAGATCGACGAGGCCAAGGCCGTTGAGGAGATTAATGCTTTGATCAAGTGGCACGAGGATCGCAAACGGTGGCACTTGAATAAGACGCGACAGAAGATGGCGGCGGAAGGCACTGGTGGCGAGTCTTTCCCCGGGAACGCGACGTTCCGCGGCAGTGATTTTGGCCTGGATGAGGTATGTGTAATGCAAAGGGCTTTTATCTTCATGTCTAACCAACTCCCAGGCGGACCTTCAAGATCTCGCCATTTCCGATGCGGAATCCGAACAGTCCGAGGAAATGGAAGAGGACGACCTTGATCCGATCATCGCTGAGAGGAGACGCCGTGTCAAGAAACAGGATCAGCTTCGCCGCACCGCAGGAGAACCGGTCAAACCGGAGGTTCAGGAGATTCTCAAGCTTTCGGAGCCTTTTAATGCTATGTTAAGGCAGGTCCTTGCCGAATAAGTCCGACTCGTCGCGATGATACCCCTGCAATTAGTCAACTTTGAGTACGCTTGCTTGTCTGCTTGCTTGCACTTTGCATACTCTAGATCGGAGCATAGAAATTTTGGATAGCTCTTTAGATTCCAAATTCAGATACAATGAAAGGCAGTGTCATAGTAGTACATATGTTGCTTTCTTCAGTGGTGTGCTCTCCTATTTTCCTTTCCCCGCAGGACACGACCTACTTAACTACTATTGGTATACGCTCGCGCTTGTAATCTTCCATCTCATGATAAGAAAAATATCTATCATGTCATCAGAAGACGACCAGGTGTATACATACTGCTTCGGATGATTTTGTGGGATACTACAACGCTCTGAACGATCCCCACATTCTATTTTGCAACGTTTGGCATATCAGTTTCCATAGCGACAAGCAAGGCGTTTGCTTCCACTCGTTGCGTCATAACGACCACACAACAGTAAAAAGTTACTCAGATACTGTATCTGCCCTCACCATGTGACGGGAGATACGGCTCTATTGCTACATCCATGATTTCTCCTCATAAACCTGCGATCGGAGGGCTGTCGCCTCGCACGGCCGTCCCATTGCGGGGACTCTTTCTCGAGGGCGTGTGGAGGTGCAACTGTCCCGAACGCCCACCAGCCGTCAGGCTGCAAACAAAGAACCACGGAGTCAACCATGGGAGATGGTGTAAGTATTATTCTCGTGGGTTTGACTAGCCTAATACGGAATCATTGTTGAAGTGATACAGTCTACACCTGCCAGAAACCCCAACATAAGCGCTGCAACTTCTTCCTCTGGCAAAGCGACGCAGAAGCGCGGGAGAAACTAGCCGTGCTTTCGAGTTCACGGACTGAGCCGCGCTCGGCGAATAATACACCTACGAAACTATCAGTGCAGGGAAGCGGCCTTCTCACGCCACTGACAGACACGAAGGTACAGGATGTCCGCGGGATGAGCGCCAACCGCACGCCCACGCCGTCGAAGAGCGGAAAGGCCAGAATGATGACGGAGGATACGGACGAATTTAGCTGGGATGATTCATCAGGCGCGGAGGAGCTGACCAAGTTGCTTGAGCCGCCTCGTCAGCCGGATTTCGGACAGGATGAGCCTCGCAAAGCGCCGCGGACTGAGACCTCCACGTCCCCCGGCAAGCGAAAACTGTCGGACATGGAATATGAGGAAAGTGAGAGTACGACCACGCTTACGCCCACATCTATCTTCTCGGCCCGCACGCAGACCCGATTGCCGCCCGCTTCGGCGGAGGTCTCAATGACGCCTACACCGGGCAGGTATAGAAATGTGCTGTCTACAGATGCGCGTGACGATTCGTCTGATCTAGGTCTTCAGGCTTTGGAGGTCCTGGAAAGTCACAAGGTGGTCGTGCCGAAAGAGGCGCAGGACGAATTGTTGGCGCTGCTAAACAAGCATGATCTGAAGACTAAGGGGATTATCCGCGGGCGGGACATCTCACGAATCGCGCTGAAGAAAAAGGATGAGACCATTATGAAGTTGAATGAGAGGATTGCGAGCCTGGAGTCGCAGAGGGAAATGGATCGAGCTATCATCGATGGGTTGAGGGGACGGTGACCAGATCACATTCGAATGGAGTGTTGGAAGGAAGAGGGAAATTGCATTCATGATACCCTGGCCGGTAATGTAAGTCCGATTTTCATATATTTTCATTTTATTCTCTTAATATCTCGGGGGTCGAAGTCGATGCCGTGAAATCATATATTATCACCACAGAACATGTCTGCACATCAAGTATACTATATCTCATTTGTTAAATACGCCAATATCATTTCTGCTCTATGAGGATTTAGCATGATCATCAGTATATCATGCTGGACGTGAATCGAAAATGCCATTAAGCAGGCGTCAGGTATAGACCTATGTCAATCACGTGACTGATAAGATGCAGAAGATAAAATTAAAAAGTATGAATCACATCCCCACTAACGTCAACAGACCTCAATCGCAAGATATCGATGCCTCATATCATATAATTAGACAACAGACCGCTTAGCATACACCCCTGGCAGACACCTGTCCATGGACTCCATGACCGACTCCTCCAATTCGCTCCGCAGCAGCGACCTTCCGGAAATGTTTCGACCACCCGTGAACCGCGCAATGCGTGTCTTGGACCGCTCGTTCTTTCGCAAGACGGTTCCTCTGTCCGCTGCTGCAGTCTTCCAAAACTCAGATATCTCAAAGGTGCGAGCGGAGCTACACAAGAGCCGGGACCTGCTCGCTGTGCCTCGGCTCAACTGTATCCGGGACGTGACAGACCAGGACGGGCAGATAAAGAAAGGTTTGCTACTGCGCGAAACTGTCAAGCATGACGATAAGGAAACGTGGTCGCCGAAGATAAGTGAGCTGGTTGAGAAGGGACGGATTGCAATGCGGCCGTACGACTTGACGCTGGACTATGATTTTTGGACGTACGCCGATATCATCTCCTCGATTCTGCCCGAGGACGAGCTACAAGAGATTCCGCAGAGGTTTACTCAAGTGGGCCATGTGCTGCATTTGAATCTTCGCGAGCAATACCTCCCATACAAGTATCTCATTGCGGAGATTCTGAAGGACAAGAACAAGGCGATTAGGACGGTGATTAACAAAACCGAGGACGTTGGATCGCATAGCGAGTTCCGCACATTTCCCTTTGAGCTGCTGGCGGGTGATAATGATTTGAATGTTGTCCAGCACGAGCAGGACTGCGAGTTCCGCTTTGACTATTCCCGCGTCTACTGGAACAGTCGTCTGGAGACGGAGCATCGTCGACTCGTGGAGAAATTCAACAAGGGTGAGATGGTGTGCGATGTGATGGCTGGCGTCGGACCGTTTGCTGTGCCTGCGGGCAAGAAGAAGATTTTCGTATGGGCCAACGACCTTAACCCACACGGGTACGAAGTGATGCAGGATGCAATCAAGAGGAACAAGGTGGAGGGTTTCGTCACACCGTTCAACATGGATGGTCGCGAATTTATCCGCTGGTCTGCCAAAGAGCTCCTGGAGGCCGAGCCGGTGACCGTCACCATTCATCCCAAGGTGCGGCGGGACAGAAAATCGAACAATAAGGTCGAGCAGGCTCCTCTGCCTCATCCGGAGGAGTATCACCGTCCAGTGTTCTTCGACCACTACGTAATGAACCTCCCCGCCACGGCAATCGAGTTCCTCGACGCGTTCCCCGGCGTCTACGCCGGCAGGGAGTCCCTGTTCGCTCCGCACACCTCCCAACGTCTACCAATGGTCCACGTGTATTGCTTCTCGGGCCATTCCGAGAACGAGCTGGAAGACCACATTGACATCTGCGAGCGGATATCCGAGCGTATCGGGTACACTATCACGCCCGAGGATCGGATCGGAGGCAGCGGGAATCAGAGCATTGAGCTCTCGATCCACAATGTGAGACTAGTCAGTCCGAAGAAGCAGATGTTCTGTGCTAGCTTCCGTCTGCCTGCGGAGGTTGCGTTCAAAAAGGTATAAATTCTACATTAGGGGATTTTGTTATAGACAATCCTCGCATAGCATGAGGCGTTAGCTTGGTATTCTGTACATAAAACAAACCTGATACCCTATTATGAGCTCGCAATCATTGGCATCTACACTATAGAAAATCGTAAATGGAAGGCGGTGAACATGTCACCGCCTCAAACTGCCTTGCGCCCTCCACCTCGAAGTTTTCCCGCTCCGGCAACGTTCAAGCTCCGCATCCCTGGTCTGTCAACCTTCTACTGTCTACGGAGTACACGCCGGAGCTTTTCCAATAAGGAAACCAAGTTTATCAGGCATCAAACTCATCATGAGCGTCCAACTTCCCCCAGCGACACATCGCAAGCGCGCCCTCCCCCAGGGCGAACTCGAAGCAGCCTCAACTCTCAAACTCGGCGCCGATCAAAACACACATACCCTCTCGCTGTCCGAAGCACGGCTCGTCATTAACAAGGTGCTGGAGAATAAGCGCCGCGGGGGGAAGAAATACGAGGAACCGGAGTATGTTGCGTTGCTTACCCGTCACCCTTTCCACAGTGACGGTGCGTCCATACAAACAGAGGGCTAACGGGTGGCAATGAATAGGAATCTTACCAAGACGCTGGATTACCTCGAGGTATTTGCGCGGTTCAAGGACGAGGAGAACATCAAGGCTGTGGAGCGGTTGCTGAACTCGCATACTGAGCTGGAGATGTTCGAGCGGTCGCAGCTGGGTATGTCTTGCTTTTGAGTTATTGTGTGTGGCTGTTGGCTGATAATGAAAAGGGAGCTTGTGCTGCGATAATGCCGAGGAGGCCAAGTCGCTTATTCCGAGTCTGCAGCATAAGATCTCGGATGGGGATTTGCAGGAGTTGTTGGATGAGTTGACGAAGCTGAGGAATTTCACGGAGTGAATATGTGTACCTCTTGACAGGTTGGGTTGGATTATAAGAAGAGCATGGAGTTTTGGGCGTTTGGGATTTTGTTCTACATGTACTTTTGTAGAGTGGTTTTCGGCACGCATATTGAGCGAACAGTGCATATGAATTGGATCCAAGCATACTCAAATTCTTGGCCGATGGCGGACACTCGCGCATGGCTGATATCGACTTGGTCTATATCACTGATGACCACTTCAGATGCTCTCACATGTCAAGAGTCTCAAGAAAGCTTTGTCACGTAGGGCGTCGTTCACATGCCATAGTCTGGAGTTGATCACGCCCGTGGGGAAGATAGATACATCTGGAGTGCAGCCCGGACGTCATGGAGAACTGTAATTACACTTTTAAAGGATTGTTATCTGCGCAGACTACAATTTTATCCGAGTTATTTTGAGTTGTCAACACTCAGCCACATCAGTCGTTCAAGGTAACCGGTGTAGAGTAGACAGAAGCTAATGTTGATGTGGAGGACTGGGGTCTGGAGAAATGAAATAAATAAATTAAATTGCTCTAGATATGGGCAATCCTTTCATATGCAGGATGCTCATGGAGCGATAGCTGAGTACATATTTACAAGGACAATGGACAGACAGAATCAACTCAAACGGCTGCAACTGATCCAATAATCAAACTCACAAGCATAGTTTCCATTTAAGTCACGGATATATCAGTCATGGCCCGATGGTTGCTTTACAGATCGAGACGAAGACGAGAATCCATCCCCAATGCAGACGATTCTGTTACTAATGTGCCGACTTTCGACCGCGCCAAGGATGTGTAGACTGGAGAACCACATGTTACTTAATAATAAAGCAAGCCGGGAGGGAGTACTCCGGAGAGCCTATTGTACGCAACTACGCCACAGATAAGTGAAGAAAAGAAGAGACGGGAGGCGAAGTGCATTAGAACTACCGAGGGGTATAAACTTCAGGATGCAAGCCTCCTCTCTCATTTTTCAGATGATTCATTTCCTGAAATGCTAGTTCTACTAGTCTAAGCCGCAGAGCTTTCATCAATCATCAGCAGTGATGCCCGAGATCAGAACCAGACCAATGGCACCCCGGCTAATATCAACACCAAGGCCCTGGCCAGGTCCCCACTGTTGCTTTGCATTGGATGTGTAGCTCTGTCCTAGCCCGGAAAGGGAGTAGTCGGATGTGGAGAAAAGGGCAGCTGCAGGCCGATCCCCGTTTGCCGGTGTTGCACCAGGCCCGATTGGGCTGCAAAGGGCGTGCGTGATTGGAGAGGGAAAGGCTGTTATCAGAGGCTGCTGATTGGATGATAGTAGCTCTATCTATCTCTCTCGGGCGAGTACACCTCATTGATTCTGCTTGATGTCTCGCTTCTGAGAAGAACCTAGTGGCATGGTCTAAGCACTTAAAAGTATTCTTGCATCAAAGCTGAGATGTGATTTTCCTAAGTCCCTTAAAGTTCCTCATGTGCTGTCCTCTGTCCTCGGTGGTTGTATGTAGGTAAGCTATGTAGTTATGATCGCATGCTGACTAACGCAGGAGGAATTGCCAGTACGTAATCTAAAGGAGGTTCCTCGCCCCCGGTCCAATCAGGCGCAGATGTCTTATCTTGGGAGGCAACTTCCAAAGCAGCAGAGATGCGACGGCCCAGGAACAATCATATAATGGCAATTGTCATCATTGGGGAAACGGCAGCGGCGCAGAGGCAATCTGTTACGTGTGGGAAACGTCGTTTCCGAGCTGATCGCATGGAGAGAGTCGGGATCTCGTTGGAATGTTGATGTTTCTGTTATCCAATCTTAACTGAACCGGAGGGAAGGCAGAAAGTCCGGGTGGAAAGGTGTATGACTGCGAGGCATCCAGAGACAACATGTATATACTACCGTATACCTAGAGTCAACCATCCTGGATCCTGAGAGATAGCTTTCCTCTACTCGATCTGTATCGTTAACATCCTATCTATCTATCGATAATCGATCATCCATAAGTCATAGAGTGAAACGGTTTCATCCTCCGCGGAATGACAGAGCGGACTATCAAGCATTTGATACTGCTGCAGTCGCTCGCGAAGGCTCATTACTATTGTTGAAGTGAAGATAACACCAATATACAATCATATCATTACTTTGTCTGATCGTCATATCTTCTATTATTATCATTTCATCAACACAGAAAGATCTCGATTATTATCTACATCTCATCCACATCATCGTTGTTACGTGTTAGATCAATCAGTTCCTGAGACGGCCAACTGGTTCCAGTGTTATCGATATTTGCTCGCTCCGGTTCCGCTCTCTCCGCTCCCCCCGGTCGATATCGCCTTTTACAGTTGACTACTACTATCTCCGGACTACACTTTCTTCTACCTGGCATTGTGTCGAGTCTAGTCTATCTACTTCTATCTAGACTCGTCGTTCACCTGTCTAGTGTCTACCGATAAGCTTCTCCTCCGCGGTTCGTACGTTGCTCTCAACCCCGTCGATTTGGGCTGCATCCCCAGTCATTGATTGGTTGGTGGACTGCAATTGAAGCTATCCGTATCTACCGACAGATCACCCAACCTGACACAGCTCTCTCCGGAACCCTTGTCAAGGAGTAGTCTCTAGCTTGTTGCGGAGCATCATCCTGGCATCTCCGGATATCCCGGTTTACGAGAGCAAATCCAATCGAATTATCTGTCAGGCTGTGTGGGTGCATAATCCCTGCACAAATATCTCTTATCTATCTACCTAGCTATCTGCTATCTCCATTTTCTATCTACGTCTTCCCTATCGGGGATCGTCTCTTCTCCTTCTCGTCTTTCTCCCCTACTGTGCTTGAGAATCTCTCCACAGTGAATGGCTGCCGTTATCACTCTCCAGTCGTCCACGACGGCTGGCCCTGCAGCTACGTCTGCAGCTCCCTTTCAACAGCCTCACCCCTCAGACCACCACCTTCTTCGAGCCCGTTCGCACCAGCAGCAGGCTAGCTCGACTCCTGCGCCTATCTCGCCCTCCTCTGCCTCCATTGGATCATTGCCCCGTCTGCCGGCACCTGGTCGGGATGGGTCAAGTTGTGACGCCTGTTTGCGTAGAAAGAGCCGGTGCGCCATGAACGAAATGGTCAATAAATGCTACTCGTGCGACTTTCATCGCCAGGAGTGCACCTTCACTCTCAGCCGTCCCGGTACGGCGGACGCACAATCTAAAAAGCGAAAACTAGAAGATCTCGCCCCCGAGGATGTGGACACTACTAAGAGGTATGACGATGATGTTTTTCTTCCTCGTGGGGAATCTTACCCCATGCCGATTTCGGACGTCCTGTCAAGTTATGCTTATGCACGTTGCAAGATAAACACTAATCTTTCTTGCTTTCTCTCCTTGGCAGGCAACAACAACAACAACAACAACAACCAGCAGCTGCAGCCCTCTCACCAGTTTCCAAAACAGATGTCTCCCGCTCACCAGTGAATGGCCACAACCTCCTGATCCCGTCGGGGTATTGGTCCCAGTCCGCCAAGTATATTGGCATGACCACTGAGTTAGAGCCGGCCCTACTTGAACATCTTCCTCTTGACCAGAACGACGAAGGAGTCGTTGCATCAGCTCGAGTACGTAAGATCGGTAACGACGGTACCTTTATGCGTGTTGTCGACCCCCCGTCCCAGGCGGACTCTCCGTCCGTCTCGCTCGATGCTATTGAGAGCCTGGTTGCTCCCTATGGATCCACCTTGGTGGAGAAGTACTTTGAGAGCATCCACCCAGTGTTTCCCATCCTGATGGAAGATGCCTTTCGTCAGTCGTATCGGACCAGACAAGGGCTTTCACCGCTCTTGCTCTCCGCTGTCTATGTTTGCGCTTTGAAGTTTGTAGATATTGGCCCTGCCTCGCAGTCGGTGCGACGTCCGGATGCTGGCCGTCTCGAGAGCACCGCGCTCAAACTTCTGATCGAGTCCTTGCCCCATGCAACTATCTCGACGATCCAGGCCGGACTGCTTCTCATGGAGAAGTCCACGATTGCGACCCATGCACTGAATGCCCAGCTGGTCACCGCTGGCTTCGAGCTTGGGCTGCACCAGGACTGCAGTGGCTGGAACATGGAGACCTGGGAAAAGGGGTTGCGGAAACGACTGGCGTGGGCACTGTATATGCAGGACAAATGGTCGGCGCTAATTCATGGGCGGCCGTCCCACATCTTCGCCTTCAACTGGACCGTCAAGGACTTGGTAGAACAGGATTTCACCGAGGCCTTCCACACGGACAACACGCAGCAGGACGATGCAGACGTCGGCCACGGTCCGCTCTTTTTCTGTCACATGGTGGCACTGACCACCATCCTGTCCGACATCCTCGACCGATTCTATACTCTTCAAGCGATCGAGGAGTTCAAAGCAGCTGGCGCCAACCGGACACGCATGATCCTGGAGCGCGCCAAACCTGCTCAGATCCGACTGAAGGAATGGTTTGCATCGCTGCCGCCGCAACTGAAGATGGACTCGAGCATCGACCTCTTCGACACCGTCACCGAAGACACCGCCCGCAACGGGCCTCTCCACCTCTCCTACTTTGCAACCGAAATCACCCTCCACCGGTGCATCATCCGGTCCCTCTCCCCGGACACGGCCGACGCCTACCTCTCCCACATCTGTCGCTCTGCCGCAAAGACACGCCTCATCTCCGCCATGGACTTTGTCAACCGGCTCCGCCAGTCCCACCTCCGCTCATTCTGGCCCGCCGCCTCCCGCACCAATTTCTCCCTCATCGGCTCCTTCGGCATCCTCCTACGCATCACCGCACCCACCAAGGAGGAGGCCGAGTTCTACCGCCTCCGCCTCTGTGAGTACCGCTGGACGCTGAGCGTCAGCCGCAAGCACGCCGAGTTCCTCGATTTCGCCCTCGACAGCCTCGACAACGCCTCCAACCTCGACCGCCACGTCCCGGGCAAACCGGGCATCGACGAGCTGATGACCAGCGCGGCCAGGCCGACCATCAATAACCCCCATCTGCCCTCTGCTTCGCAGCTGGACGAGTCGATGCTCGAAATGGACCACGCGCAGGACAGCACCCGCGGCGGCACCTCGTCTGTCATATCAGGACTGGCCTCTCCGGCTACCTCTGTCAGCGACGAAAGTGTCCAGGAGGCTTCCGTTCCTCCGTTGTAACTTTCTTCACATTCTTTCTGCACATATCATCTACATACTTCACATTATGCCTTATGACCCTTTAACCCTTTCTGCCAGGCGGCGGACTCAACCCTACCGCCTGGCTTTCTCACTGGATCTGGATTTACGAATGATTCCCCGGATGGACGACTGGATGATTCAATTACCTGGTTCGATTATACTTGTTTGATGATGATTTTCTCTGTATGCTAGCTCATGATGAACCCGGATATAGACTGGATCGGCGATTGGGATAGATCACGAATTAATGGTATTACATCACTGCAGCTTTCTCGATCAATCACGAGTAGACTCAGAAGGTTATGCAATGCCGGACATCCGATCAGAAAGGTAAACTCGACTCAGCTGTGCAGGACCCTAGCGAATCCGACGATGGGTGAACTTCTCCGCAGTCGACCCATTCCGACAGAGCTCAGCCCTAAGGAGATGAAGCGCTAGCTCTCCATCCTACCATACTCCATACAGGAGTCATAGTTCGATCCAACATGTCGTAAATGTGATATTCTCCGCATTTCCCCGCTTGCTCCAACTTAATCTGTGTTCCTGTTACCTAAACCGAGGATAGACGACAACTGATCTCTTGCTGATCGGGTGATATCCGCGATCCGTCGGATAGGATCCGGGACGGATATGCACGGTTATGAGGTGGTTGTTGACAGCGAGGAGAAGAGATGTAGTCGTGAGCTTGTCAACGACGGAGTTGTGCCTTGTATATAGTCTACGTCTTCGAGGTGTTATCGGTAGACTTAACGTGGTAATCTCCCTGCACACTGTAGCAGCCAGGATAGTATAAGACCGTCCTCAACACCATCCTCGTTCTCCCATGTTCAACAGCTGATACAGACAAAGCAAAATGACATTGGATCAAGACAACCTTCGCGCACGCTTCTGTCATGCCCTCTCGGAAATGTACAAAGCCGAAGTGCCCCTATACGGGGACCTCGTCGACCTCGTCTGGCAAGCCGACGCAGAGGCCCTCCAGACCAGCCAGCAGCAGCACGGCAACACCACGACCACGACCACAATCAACCCGGACGAGATCCTCCCCGCCCGGAACCGCGTCGAACGACACGGCGCCATCCGCCTCGGCACCACCCGCGAACTCTCCACCATCCGCCGCCTGTTCGCCGTCATGGGCATGAGCCCAGTGGGATACTACGATCTGAGCGTCGCCGGATTGCCCATGCACGCGACTGCCTTCCGGCCGCGCACGCGCGAGGCACTCGCCCGGCAGCCATTCCGGGTATTCACGACCGTGCTGCGGATGGAGTTGCTAAGTGAGCGGACGAGGGCGCTGGCAGAGCGGGCGCTCGCGCAGCGGGATATCTTCACTCCACGGTTACTGGAGCTACTCGATCTGTCCGAGCAAAAGGGGACGCTAAGCTGCGATGAGTGCGAGGAGTTCATCACCGAGGGGCTAGAGACCTTCCGGTGGCACTCGCGGGCGACGGTCACGCTGGAGGAGTACCGCGTCCTCAAAGCGGAGCATTCCCTCGTGGCGGATATCGTCTCCTTCCCCAGCTGCCACATCAACCATCTGACGCCGCGGACGATCGATATCGACCTTGTGCAGAGAATGATGCGCGAGAGTGGGATGCCGGCTAAGGAGCGCATCGAGGGCCCGCCGCGCCGTGTGAACCCCATTCTCCTGCGTCAGACGAGCTTCAAGGCGCTAGAGGAGACGGTGTACTTCCGTGATGGCGGGGGTGAGTACGTGAGGGGCTCGCACACGGCAAGGTTTGGCGAGGTTGAACAGCGGGGGTATGCGCTGACGCGGAAGGGGCGCCAGCTGTACGATCAGATCCTTGCGCGAGTGAATCGCGATGCGGCTGGCTCGGAGCCGGCGGAGTATGAGAGGATCTTGAGGAAATGCTTCGAGGAGTTCCCTGATGATCTGGAACAGCTTCAGGCGGAGAAACTGGCTTTCTTCTGTTATCGGGTGACGCCGCATGCCTCGAAGGGGGATTATCATGGCGTAAAATCTGTTTCGCTGGCGCAGTTGTTGAAGGACAAGGTCCTCGACTACGAGCCCATCACGTACGAGGACTTTCTCCCTTTATCCGCCAGGGGTATCTTCAACTCGAACCTGGCCAACATGTCACAGTCTAAGCAGCTGATCATGGAGGCTGACACTGATCTGGATGGATTTCAACGGATGCTGGGGGCTCCTGTCTTGGACGAGTTTTGTTTGTACGAACAGATCCAGCAGGAGAGTTTGGAGAGTTGTCGCCAGCAGTTGGGAGTTGAATCAATTGACTGACCGTGATTTGGCGTTTGCACGTTATTAGCGAATTATTCATCCATCGGAGTAGGATCCTATGTCTTCATTTTCTTAGTGACTGATGCTCAAATGTTATAAGGCAATGTATCTAGAACCATGGTGACTTCCCTTGGAGATCGGCTTGTCCCAGCCCAATTATCACTCGAGCGTATCTTGTATAAGCTCCCCTCATGACAGTCCAGGAGCGTATAGAGATAAGCGAGGTGAGGTCGCATTTCCAGGCGTATCTTCCCTTACATTGGAGCTAACTGGCATGTTCCACAGAAATGAGGAACTATCTCGTCAATAACGGTTCTATCCGGCAGGGGTAAGAGAGGTATTATTTACCTTTCACGGAAATCTTGCCAGTGAAGCATGTTGTCTCCGCAGACGAGAAGCGGAGTGCTGCCATTCCAATGCTTATGTCTCGCGTACAATCCAGGGAGAATCCCTCCGTGCCAGGTGCCTTGGTTTGGGGAGTGCTAGAGGGCTATAGCACCTCATTGTAAATATATATCTGTCAAAGTATGCAGGACATATCATCAGTTCATCAGACGATATTCTCTAAGCTGAGATGCATTGTGATATTCTCGGACTTCTCCACCACTGTTCTATTCTGCATTCTCCAGACAGGGCATCTGCCATTTTTCTGTGTACATTTTTTCAAAGACAGTCATTTCTGTGTCACAGAGACCAATAACTGCGATCAACTCCTATCAGCATCTTGCTCGAGATGATCATCCTTCCAAAATTGCAATCCTTGCTGCATTGAGCTGGTGTGATATCGCGCTTTAGATGCAGCCAGGCTCTTTCGCTTCTGACTGCTCAAGCATAATGACACGCTCATCCAGCAATTCTCCTCAACGCATCTGCAGTCCATTCATCAGGATGCAGGGAGCTTTGATTTACTGACATTTTACTACAAGACTACTCTCAATGGCGGGTTTTTGGTCCTCTGACTCTATAAACAAAAGAGCGTGGGTCACGTCTACAGAATGACGCTCTTAGCCCTACTCAGTGCTTTCTCACATTCTTTCTGAACAACATAAAAGCATACATATTCCGTGCTAAAGCTTGAATTGGTTTGCTCCTCAATAGAGACGCCTTCCAGTCAGCAAACCGGTACCGCAAATATGCGTGCTCTTTACCTGCTCTTCCTCGGCCTTGTTGCAGCAACAGATCGACCCTCGAAGCCTAACCTCCTCTCATATGGACAAAAAGTCCCTCTGCTAGGAAGCTTCTTTGGGACTCCAGGTACCGACGCAACTTTCGACTATGTGATCGTCGGCGGTGGGAATGCAGGCTTGGCCGTCGCCAGCAGACTCGCCCAGGACAGATCAGTGAGCGTCGCGGTCGTCGAAGCCGGGAGCTTCTACGAGATCGACAATGGGAATAAATCGATCGTTCCTGGCTACGCGGCGTACTTTGCCGGGGTAGACCCAGAGGACTACCAGCCACTGATCGACTGGGGATTCGTAACAACCCCCCAGCCTGGTGTAGGCAATCGCACCGCGCATTATCCCCGGGGTAAGACGCTGGGAGGGAGCTCTGCGCGGAATTTCATGCTCTATCATCGGCCCACGGCAGGCAGCATGCAGAGATGGGCGGATGAGGTGGGTGACGAGAGCTATACGTTCGACAGGATGCTTCCGTACTTTAAGAAGTCGTGCCACTATACGCCTCCGGACTTGAGTCTGTATGTCAATGCTACTAATACGCAGACGCCGGAGGCGTTTGATTCTGCTGGCGGTCCTCTGCAGGTTTCTTTTGGGAATAGCGTTGACGCGTTTGGCACTTGGGCCCAGAGGGCCTTCACTGCCGTGGGCTTGGAGGAGATCGATGGCCTGAACAGCGGCAGGCTGCTAGGCGCTGCATACGGAACATCTACGATCAACCCCAAGAATGCACAGCGTTCCTCGTCCGAGGCGAGTTTTCTCCAAGACGCCATAGCCAAAGGCTCGCCTCCCACACTTTACATCAATGCCATGGCGCAGAGGATCCTGTTTGACGAGAACAAGGTCGCAACTGGTGTCCAGGTCTCAACCGCAGGGACATTCGGCACGCCACCGGTTAACTACACTTTGACCGCTCGCAAGGAGGTCATCGTATCCGCCGGCGCGTTCCAATCTCCCCAGCTGCTCATGGTCTCAGGCGTTGGACCTTGCAGCGAGATCTCCAAATTCGGCATCGACTGCATCCACGACCTGCCCGGCGTAGGCCAGAACCTGCAAGACCACGCCTTCTTTAGCTCCGCACATCGAGTCAACGTCATCACAGCGTCTGCATCGGCCAACGACCCAGCCCTGGCTGCGAGGCAGGTAGAGCAATACCTTGCAAACGCCACCGGCCCGCTCTCCATCTTCGGCGCCGGATACTATGGCTTCGAGAAGCTCCCCGAACCGTACCGCTCGCAGCTCTCCGAGACCTCCGTCAGCGCATTGTCAGGTGTCCCAAGCGACTGGCCAGAGATCGAATGGCTGCCGCTGAATTCCTGGTTCGGAGATGGGTCTAACTTCATTACGGGTGATCCGCGCGATGGCCACAACTACGCCACCATCGCTACGGCGCTCGTTGCGCCGTTCTCCCGGGGAACCGTGACGCTGGCTGATGCGAGCATGAATACGCCGCCTGTCATCGACCCGCAATGGCTTGTTGATCCCACGGACATCGACGTGGCGATTCAGTCTTTCAAACGCCAGCGTCAGGTCTGGGAGGTGCTCGTGAAAATGGGTGTTGCTGATGCGCGCGAAGCGTATCCCGGAGAGCATGTTCAGACGGACTCGCAGATCCGCGAATACCTGGCTAAAAGTGCGATACCTGTGTTTCATGTGGCTGGCAGCTGTAAGATGGGACGAGAAGATGACCCGCTAGCGGTTTTGGATAATACGGCTCGGGTCTTCGGAGTACAGAACCTGCGTGTTGTTGACGCCAGTAGTTTTCCGTTTATAACGCCAGGACATCCGCAGGCGGTGGCGTATGCTCTTGCGGAGAAGATTGCAGACGATATACGAGCTGGGAGATAGCCTTGGTTACATCACTTCCGTTTCAAGGTCAAGTCAATGTGCCGACCTGTCAGAGTAACCCTCTGTAGAAGAAGCATTCACATCAGTTGCAATATAGAATACAATGCACGAGTCCATGTGCAGTCAGATCTATCTGTACATAGCATGCCCATTATAGATATAGGCATAACAATACAACCAGCATACCCTTAGACAGTCCCATAGGCCAAACAGCTTTTCCTTTTGCTTATCCAGAAAAATGCTTAAGCATTAGCCTCCAGCTTCGGCACATCCTCCCCCTCAACAACCACCGCCCCTTGTTCAAGTAGCTCCTCCGCCGTCTTAACCTTGACATCCATCACCCGCAAAAGCGTATACTTATGCTTGCTCTTGACCTTCCGCACATGCCGCTGTCTCCGCTTCGTCTTCTCCTTCACCCGCAACGGCTCCGCATCCACGCCCATAACCCTCACCCGGCACTCAAACAGCCGCTCATCGATATACGGCGCCCCCTTGAGCGTGAAGTCGCGCGAACCGAGCACAGACGCCCGGTTGAAGCGGAGGATATCGCCTGGTTTCACGCCCCGCATGAGGAACGGCAGGCGGAGGTGGTCGCCTGCGGTCAGGAGGTAGGGTTTTGCGTGGAGGTGCGCGGTGATGTAGTGCGGTTTTTGAGAGGTGAGGTAGGGGAGTTTCTCGAGGAGGGATTTGGTGAGGCGTACGGGTGATGCTTGGTCGGCTGAGGGTTGGGATGGAGTTTGGACTGTGGGTGTCGACGATTGGGCCCGTGGTGTTGCGCTGAGTGGGCTCTCGGGGTGTGATGTGCTGCTGCTGCTGCTTGTGTTCGTGGCTTGGTGAAGGCAGGCGCGGAAGCTGGGACGCAGGAATGCGTTGTGCTGCTCCCAGGGTAGGGCGAAGGCTCTTGCGAGCGTTGTTCGGGAGAACATGGTGAAGCGGGTTATTGGTTGTTTGCTTCAATTGAAGGCAAATTGAATCTTGTAGCTGTCTGCGTTCCTCCCAAGCGAGGACGAGACGCAATGGAGGCTTGATGCTGGGCTGGACTGGTTGTTGATGGGCGTCGTTGTCGGCGGACTTGAATCGAAGAAATTCCAGCGAATGGCGGATGTGGCCGCCTCGCGTTCCGTAGTGGCACGTGATATTATCGACTCGACGCAACTACGACATCAGGTTCATAACTCAGTCAATCTAGGGCTGTCTGTTTGAGATCTCTTACTCAGTGTTTATATCAATGCGCCAATCAGTTTAATTAAAGTTATTGTGATTGTGGGAAGGATTTGTAGTCAGAGTCAACAAAATTTCAGCACGATAATGGTATCACGTGACTTATCGATATCGAACCTGCGTCGCCCGCAGAACAACTTTTTTGTCTCAAGTCTCGGCCAGGAGGAGACCATCAACATCACTTGTCAGTAACGTTCTGCTTGTTATACATTCATCATGGTATGTTATCCTGTTTACAAACCCTGGACTAATGCATCGGCTGCTCCATGGAGGCTACATGCAAAGTTCTCAAGCGTGAAAAATTACTGAACCGGTGCTAACTGCTTCTGAATACAGCCTCAGAACGAGTTCGTCTACCCCTCTCGCCTCAGCTGTGGTCAAACCACAATCTAACCGAATCTTAGGTATATCGAGCGCTGGCAAAAGCAGCACGGTAAGCGGCTCGACCACGACGAGCGCGTCCGCAAGCGCCAGGCCCGTGAATCGCACAAACAGTCGCAGGATGCCCAGAACCTGCGCGGCCTGCGGGCCAAGCTGTACCAGCAGAAGCGCCATGCCGAGAAGATCCAGATGCGCAAGCGCATCAAGGCACAGGAAGAGAAGAACGTCAAGTCCTCTGCTCCCGACGAGCCGTCCAAGACCCCTCTGCCCCAGTACCTGCTCGACCGTTCGCAGGCGACCAACGCCAAGGCCTTGTCCAGTGCTATCAAGGATAAGCGAGCTGAGAAGGCGGCCAAGTTTGCGGTGCCCCTGCCC